TGACGTACTGGTTACTGCTTCTGTACATAATGACGGTCTCTTGCACGGCTGTCCCATTCGCAAAGGAAGCAACAATATTTCGTATATCCTAGTTGCATTCCAAGAAGAACGGTTATTACTTTTAGGTCTCCACATATTGCCCAACCATACTCATGATAACGGATGTGCTCTAAAAGATCTCTCATATTCTCATATGATTTTTTTATATAAACAGCATGAGCTAAGGGCACAGATGGATATTGGTTACCGTTATGAACCAATACTACCTTTTAAATAAGTTTAGAGGAATCAAAGAATAGACGTCAATCACGTGGATCATGTTTCTGTCTTAGTGCGTTAAACAGAAGGTTAACTTCTGAACAGTATACAAGATCCCCTTTTTAAAGAATGCAATTTGTGAGCTCTTTCTGCTTTTTTGTAAAAATTAATCTTTACATCACTTTGGAGAAGATTCCAACCTTTTAATCTGGATGCTAAAAGTTCGGACTGCGATTTTGAAAGGCTTAGATCTCGAACTACGTCATTAAGTTCACCCTGTGAAATTAGATGCGGCGCTGTTGAACATCCTGGTAAATGAAATAAAGAATTGGTTGTCACTTTCTTTACGGTTTCTGTAACATCACTTAAAGAACCACTAGTTCTTTATCGAGACTCCAAGATTCGGGTGATTTTGGAATAGGAAGTTATTCATTGTGTTTGTCAGGTCTTAAAGCTGATGGTAAATTAGAATACTTAACCGTATGTTTAGACTTCGGTCCAATACCTTTAATATTCGTGAGGCAAAAATAGCAGTCTGTAACATGGTCTTTAGGTTCTCTCCAAACCATTGGCACTGCAAAGGGCATTTTACGATTTAAACCTTTTAACTAAGCTGTTAACAATGTTACACAAGTTTTACAACAGATATGAGGGGCCCATGCTTTGTCTTGGTTCCCAACTTTAACACCAAAATACAGTTCGTAAACTTTTAGCACAAGCGGAGTAAAATTACGTTTTTGCGATTTAAAAGTTAGTTCTCCGCACACATAACAAAAACTGTTGGCAACACTATTTACGCATTGCCTAGGCATTGTACCTAAAAATCTTAAACACAGTAATTTACAAAACGTAAAAGAATGTGAAAACGTTTTGCTCTCCAAACACAGAAAACGTAACCGATTCGGATACCGTTCTTTACGCTGTTGACTTCGAACAAGCAGGCAAAAACCGGTCTAAACCGGATAGATCCCTGATCATGTGAAAATATGAGATGATGCAATATAATGAAATTTGACTTCACGGTATCAAACTGCATTAGAAACACCTAAAAATGTTCATGTCAAAAATTATGTGTTTATCAGTGTAATTGGTGTATAAATACAGTAATATTTCAAAATTTTTAACAAACCAAAATAGAATCAAAATATTTAAAAATGAATTGTTATCATAATCTCTAGCTTCAGTTTGATTTTCTTTTGAAACGCGATTAATATTAATGCAATTCATTTTGCATTTGCAATTTGAGCTACAAAATACCCTTTCTATTTTACACTGTCATTTCTTTACACTTCTTGTCATTGAATAATAAGGAAATAACTTGCCGTATATCTATTTTTGCAGTTTTATCAATCTCGATCGGTGTACACGCGCCTAGTTAGGTACAAGAATATTTGCACCTTGTACTGAGTAGAGTTTGCAAGTTTTAAAAATTATGTGTTTTGTTTTATTTATATTTGGTGATTGATAGACAAGTAATAATTTACTAATTGCATTTTATAGATAATTTTAACATGGTTAATCAATAAATTTGGCGGCAAATTCAGTAAATGTTTTAGAGTAAGTAAATCATTAGGTTTTATTACATAAAAATATCAATATTAAGTTACAAATAGATAATACATAAGATAATGATCTTTTTTTTTGTATGTCATCGGCTTCAACTGCTAATGATTATGATCTTAAAAATTTATTTGTTATTTTTTAACCATGCTGTTTCGGAATTACACAGTTTTAGAGGAAACTTAGTGCATTTGGCCTTCTTAGAAAAAAATGAGACCTAACTTTACGAAGTGTGATATTTCGATGATACTTAAATATTTTAGGCACTTGTGAGACTTCACAAGACCGGACATTGTTTGGTCTCTTCAAAAATAAAAAAATTCAATAGAAAAATAAAAGTTGAGGTGGTTTGCAGGATAGAAAAAGACAATTGAGACATGTCATATACACTATGTTATTTGTCTTAAAAAAGTGTTCCAATAATGTCACATTTTGACAGCTCTCAAATTAATCGTTTCGGATTTACAGGCGAAGAACGAAAACCGTCATTTTCGGTTTTTCGCCAATATTTCAATAACTAAATGATTGATTGTAACAACCAACTTGCCTAAAGGACCACCGCTTATCACCAAATGTAACAACCAACTTGCCTAAAGACCATTTGTAACTACTATTAGGTATTTAGCTACTGTTGTTAATATACTATTAAAAGATTAAGGCAGCGTCGTCACCAGCCAAAGGGTCCTGGAGTCCTGAAGGAACATCCATTCACCAGTGGCAAATAAAAATAATAAAAAAATTAAATTAAAAGAATAAAAAATCATCCCTTAATAGCATAGTCGAGCGGTTCTTGCCAACTAGTTTTAGACTCTTTTAGTCCTAAGGGAATAGAAACGCCAAGGCTTCTCAAATGCTCGGAGTATTTTTGCTGGTTTGGAAAGGGAGGAGAGAATAATAGTAAGTATTAAAACAATAACAAATGTATATTAACAATAAATATAAAATTTGACAAATGTCTTAAGAAAAAAAAAACAATAAAATTCCATTTTGTGAATAAAGCACTATAACTACATAGTAATATAAAGATATGCATAATATAACTATAATTCAGGACGAAAATGTAAAATTGGCATTTTTATGTAAATCAATCAATCAATTATTATTAAACAAAACACTTTAAAATTAAGTTAAAATATTTACCCATAATTCACATCATACACAAAACTTTATTCTACACATTTCTTCACAATACAAAACGAGAGCTTTCACCCTTACGGCGAAAGTTTTGGACCTTAGTCCGAACTCGACTGAGAGTTTACCCAAGTGATCCTTGTCTGGACGAAATTTAAAATACAACACTACCGTGTACCACATTTATTTCAAAAAAGTATATTACTAGTATTTGAAATCAATGTACACTACAGTGTAATCATTGTACCCCACTACGCGTCGACAGCTTAAAACATATTTTTGTTTTAAAACTCTATATCTGTTTACCAAATTGGTCAAAAAATTCAGCGTTAATTTAGAACATTTTATAACTTCTTAATTTACATTACATTAGTTTTTAAAAAATATAGTAAGAACCGATTTTAAGATATCTTGAAATATGTGCATTGCTTGTGTACATGACAGGCTACAAGAGTGATAATTATGCACATTTTGATTGTCAATATATCATTTTACAGACGGTCAAAAAATTTAATTTTTTTTGGTTACGTAAAAGACACTTTTATTAACCTGATATTTCAATTTAATTGAATTTATAAGAAAAGCCATTTTACGAGTGAACTACCTTCATAAAATATAAAATATAATATACGTAATTATAATTATAATTTATTTAATTTTAGAATTATTTTGTTCGATCATTTTGTTTATTGTATAATAAAAATAAAATTATAATATACATGTTTTTGAAAATGATAAATATAATATGAAGTACCTAAATACATAGAACATTCATCGGCTCTTTCCTGTTCCGCGGCTAGAGATCAATAGAACCAGTAGAACAATTAATGCCAGTGAACGAATACTGAAAACAGATTCAGCACCGTGCAGTGTCGGCCGATTCCTGTTCAGTTCATTAGAAAGAACAGTTCACTAAACATGCTACCTCAGAACCTATGCTTGAGTACTGGTCCATTCTTTTCTTAACAACTCTGGTAGCAACACCTACCATACCTTAAATACTACTATAGCTACTATACTAATATATCTACTATACTAATATAGCTACTATACTAATATAGCTACTATACCTATACCTACTATACCTATACCTATATACCTATACCTACTATACCTATACCTACTATACCTATACCTACTATACCTGTACCCACTATACCTATGCCTACTATACCTACTCTACCTATACCTACTCTACCTATACCTACTCTACCTATACCTACTCTACCTATACCTACTCTACCTATACCTACTCTACCTATACCTACTCTACCTATACCTATACCTATGATGTTTAAAAATCAAAATGTTTAACTAGGCATTTAATCTACCAAGACGAAAAGTTATAAATCAAGCTTTACTTGCAGGCAAAGTGCTGCTGGTGAGGCCCTCTGCAATTTACATGAAAACTGTGATCAAATTTTGATTTATCATCCTAAAAACTTCCAAATACCAAATTTCGTGTAAATCATGCTTTTATTAATATAAATACTTATAAAAAACTTTAAATTTAAAAACAAAATTTTTTTTGACAAAGGTAATTGACCAAGATTCTCATATTTTAGCCTAACGAATCTGTGCTAGTGTTCTGTATGGTCTTTTCAGAGTCACCCTGTAAAACTTGAATGTATAGAAACAACAGCAATAAATGTACCGTCCTAGCTGTTTAATAAAAATCGTTTTAGATTAAAAAAAAAACGTAATCATTTTTAAAATACCTTTCCTTCGTCTATTTTACTAGAACAAGTCTCTATATCCTCCAAATACGACTCTGGCCTTGGCGTATCACTTTCAGAATCATAATGCGCTAATTCGTAATCTATTCCGTCTTTTTGTATTTTCACGAGTCTTTTATCCAGCCAAAAACTCAGCTCCTTATCCAGCGTACCAATATTATTTCTAATAAATTCAAAATCTTTAGTGACCTTCACATAATCTGCTACCATGAGGCTAATGAGTGGTGGTTGTGATCTATTTAGATAATAAATTCTTCCTCCGTTAGGGATAAAGCCATATCGCTCCACCTAAATCACAAATAAATCATTTTTATTCGTTTGGCACGAAATTTTAAAATTGAATTTTTTGAAAAGGCGTATAATGAACTAAAAGACCAATTTTTTATTATTTCTTTGTACTTTTTAATCCATGTCTTTGTGTAAATGTTTATTTGTATTTGTTTCTTCTTGTTTGTAAATAATTAATTTTCGGTTAATGGTTGATTGTATTAAAACCAAATATAATATTATTATTAATAAATACATTATAATTACCATCGATAGTAAATTTTGGACAAGTCCTTTAGATGTTTCATACATGTCGCTTAGCAATAAACCTTTTAAAATCCAGTAAGAATCCCAGTAATAATATTCCTTAAATCTACCACCTGGGATAATAAAAGGATGTTCCACAGGTATCAACGAATGGGTATCTGGGTGATCAAGTACATGATAAGACACTTTTCGGGTTAGAGTCGGCCAAATGTCGATAATATGTTGAGCAAAATGCCTTACAACCGGATCAGCAATCTCTTTAATAATCTTCGGTTCTTTTTTAAAATCTCTGGGATACTCTTCATCTAATTCCCCTATAGCTTTAAAATTTTGATAAACGTATTCTGCTATTTGTTCTCTGGAAGGGTTGTCGTCATTTTCAGCCATTAAGGTTTGAAATTTTTTTAACGTTTCGTTTACTGGATTTATCATAGCCATGTCTACGAATGTTTTAGAATCATTAAAAATTTTGGCTGTTTGAACTACGTGAAGAAGATCTCCTTGACAGTATATAGGGCTGTGGCACGATTGCTTGTGTTGGGATGTACTTGGATGGATAAGACTTAATACACTTATCAGAATTAGGAGTAATGTGGTTTCTACAAAAAATTAATATATTATTTCTTATTAATATTACTTAGTTACCTTTTGATTTTTTACCATTTACAATCAAAATCATATTTATGATGTGAATAGTTTAGTTTTTGAAATACCAGAATTTTGAGACATCTTGAAAAAAATATTAGTTAATATTGACAATGACAATATTGTCAAGTTAAGCTGTCTCTGTCATTGATAAAGAAACAGGTTGCCAGATCAATGGTCTCTGTTAAAATGTACAGGGACTTCAATAGTATCCGTATTCCACACGTGAAGGTATTAGGCACTCCAAACCACATACTTTGATTTTCTATTACTATATGGAGAATGGTCGCACTGCGCAGCTTTCTGAGTGCCTTTTAAAAGAAGATAGAAAACTCCGCCATTTTGAATCCTTATTACGTGTTGCCTACATCTTGGCGCAATATTTTCAATAGGTGCGTTTTAATCATCCGCTTCTGCTTCGGAATTGTTGGGTTTCTTGTTCTAATCTGACAGGTTAAAACGACTAAACCGACAATTCCGGAAGCAGAAGCGGATGATTAAAACGCACCTGATATTTTGCTTGCTGCTGTCACTGTCAGTGAATATTATTTTTGAAGTCACAGTTTATTGCTAAAGAATCAGTTAGCTCACTCGGACCAGTTGGAAGTTTCAAAATAACATCCACTCCAGGGATACAAATTCAGGATACGCAGAAGACTGCTGTTTTATTATAGGCGGTTGTCATGTATTGTATTATCCGAGTTGTGCAGTGTATAAACTGTGGCATAGGAATCAAAATGGCCGCGCCCTATGTCGGGCGTGTCAGACCTCTCTCTTGCACCGTATGCTAACAGATTGGGATAAATGGAAAATTGCTCTGAAGCAATAATGTCAAAGACTTCATATCAATAAAACATGAACAAAATTTAAAGATAGAATGTTTTTATGGCTTTTGAATAAGGGAAAGTGTTAGAGATTTCTTGTTAATCTTGTTAAAAAGTAAATGAGATTTTAACATTCAGTATATTATTTTTATTTTATGTTAATTCATCAAACTGTGCAAAATAGTTGGTTGTTGTCAATAAAGTTGAAATATAATTTTCTAAAAAGTCATCTGAATTTATTTCAAAATACATAAAAAGAGCAATTGATATTCAAATGATTCACACACAAATCTTTAAGCCTTGGTTGTATTGTTTTATGTACTGTTTACTAGTTTTTGACTTTGATTTAATTATTTTTTGAAAATAAAATTAAAGGGTTGTCAAAAGTAAAACCTGGTATTTTTAGATTAAGTCTTTGGTATCAACTGTGGCCTAAATACTTTCCTATAGAAACGATATTCTAGCACCTATTTCACTCAAGACCATCATATCCATTCTTTTTGCAAAAAATACCATTGTTATTCCAAGAAATATTTTAAAAAGTTTATTAAAAGATTAATTAAAAGGAAATTTGCGTAATAAGTATAAGATTCTTCTACTGTTTTTAACCCGATTAATTTTTGTTTCAGATTCTAATTTACTAACTTCCGTTCATCACTCGCAAGATCCCCGACAACCATAAATATACAGATCTGCTAATAAAAGGTGTTAGTTAAAGTGCTCGAACCCCAAAATATCCTCCTATCGGTACGTAAATCACCCTGTTAACAGTGTTTGTGCTTTGGTGCTCTTTCTCTTTCGTTCTAATGAAACTTTACGTTACGAGATAAAATCCGGTTTCCCTTTATTAAAAAAACGGCAATGTTCACGCGAAGTGTAATGAGCTTGTCTGTACACAACCCTATGGAATAAAGTTTCATTTGTCGAAAGAACAGACAGACGGTCGGAAAATGAGGAGAAAAAATCCTCACGCGAACCAAGAAGTGATGCAGGAAAAGAGGGCTCCAGGCTCGTGGCCTCTTTATAGCTTAGTTAGCACCGTCGCTGTCGCATGCTATTTGAACGGGCTGAGCGGTGATTTCGTGCACGACGATATTCCTGCTGTGACACTTAATAAGGACGTTTTGGCCGTTAATCCGCTGAGCCACGTTTTCAAGAACGATTTCTGGGGAACGCCCATGGCAGATTTGTACAGTCACAAATCGTATCGGCCACTCACCATTCTAACGTTCAGGTAAGCTTCCTTTTTTTCTACTTCGTAAAAATGATAACAATCTACGACTTAATGTCTCATTAAGCATAACAAATTTCTAATGGATTTTATACATAAACAAATTTATTACTGAGGCCCTTCCTATGGACCCTTAGTATTGCATTCGTGCAGACGAAAAATAGTATATTACATTACGAGTGTGGAAAGTGACATTTTTCACACGAGTGGGAAATATTGTCGCACGAGGCGTAAGCCGAGTGCGACTATCACACGAGTGTGGAAAATCACTTTTCACACAAGTGATGTACAATATTTTTCCTACGACCACAAAATAATTTCATCAAAAAATGTAAAACCAGATTATTATAATAATTAAAATGTATTTAAAAAAATAATCAACAATAATCGTATTTATTAAATTTTCATAATTTCTAAACAAATAAAAAAAAAATAAAAAAAAAAAATAAAAAAAAAATTCTGGCACAGCCAGGATTCGATCGCGGTCGTTGGACGGTCTCAAATTGCAAAGTTGATGCTCTAACCAACTGAGCTAACAGGCCTTACGGTTATTGATTGATCTAATCGCTTATGTGTTTAACCAGAATAAAAAGCAAATATATCTTAGTTATTTTAAAATTATTTTAAAAATAATTGTTAAAGATAAATATCTAGGATCTAATTTACAATAATTTAACAATCATATCGATTTTAGTATTAATATGGACATTACATAGATCAAAATAGAAATTATGTGTTTGACATTTTCTGACAGCTACTGCGGAAAGTAGCATATTCTCACTTGGGTGGAAAGTAAATTCTTATTCATACGCGTGTGATATAGGGCACTTTCCATAAGTCTATATAGTGTGATATGTGTCACTTTCCTAAGTGGTCGTAGGAAAATGTTATTACCTCCATTGTTTAATACTTTTTTTCGTGTTTCCGAAAATGCAAAATAAAAATTCGTCTGGTCGTCTGTGTGTATGTATGCCGGCACGATAACTTTAGAACGAAAGTTCTGATTGACTTGCGATTTTGATTTTTTTGAATAATTACTTCTAACTTAGAACCATGGGAGTCGTTACACAATTCTATAGGGAGGGGCAAAATTTTGAAAAAATGTAGGATGTTTATTTGTTGAAAAACGGAGAAAATGAAAAATAAAAGAGTAATACAAATTAACAAAAGTTTCTTATAAATAAAATAACCCAACAACAAAGACAAAAACTAAAATAAAAAAAAAAACAAAAACTTACAACATATTTTTAAAAAACAAACAGAAGGTGTGATATAAAAGAAAAATATGAACAAGAAGACAGCCATACATAATAAAAAAAATAAAATATTTATAGAAACACAAAATCAAAAAAACTCAAACACGTCGACAAACACCAAGAAAACGCAAATTTTTAATTTCTTCTTCCTCTACCTAAAGTAATCGATAACAGAAAACCTGATTTCTTTTTAGTTTTTTGCGATTATTTTTCGATGTACGCTCATCATGCAAAGCGCAGTCAGCCTATTTTCATTCATTATTCGCTCTGTGCGTGACAGCAGCGCCAACTAATTTATGAACTAACTGACGATATTTGCGTATACTGACAATACAATTTTTAATGGGATTTGTAATTAAAAAAAATATATGTTGATTTTAATAAAAGTATATAGATTTGTAAAACAAGTAAAAAAAATAATTATTATTATATATTTTTTACTTTAGCTAAAAAAATTAGTATATTCAATAAAAATCAATAATAAAACTTATGCAGGCAACAATATTTACGAGAAAATGTATGTTATGTTGCCTAAGCCTAATAAGTTGTCATTGAAGAAAAGGTTAAATAATGTGAAAATAAAACATTACCATTATATAATAACAAAACGTATCAAAACGTATTAACAAAAATAATTGGTAAATTTGCGATCGTAATTTTTATTTTTCGTATTTTTAGTTCGAAAGAACCCATAGAAATTATTGATTAAAATTGGTTTCCTATCAATACGTCACAAGATTGCATTTCAGCCACATACAATAATCAAAGGCAGAAATCTAATCCTTGCATAACATTTAAGAGTTAAGGGATGTCGGACAATACTGTAAAATAATAACTTATTGCTTATTTAAAACCTTTCAATTTTCTGATGTATACAATTTCCAGTATTACTGTTATTATTACAAAAATAAAGGATAAAAAGGTTATCCATATCTCAAATGTGGTGTATCTAAAGGAAAGGAAGTCTTTATTACAAAAATTATTTATTATTTTGAAAACAAGTGTGCTAAATTTAGGTTACATCTCCTGATACATGGACTTTTGTCATCAGGATTTTGTTCCCGGTGTGCCTTTCTGTTAAGACTCCAGGTTCTGGAGGCCTTTCTTATTGCTGGTTACCGCTACACACCCTCGTGCTAGGTTCAACAGGACATCGCTTTCTGACTTTATCTTTGCTACAGGGGGTTGCTACACATGTACGTTGGCAACGATTCCCATTCTTGGGGCCTTTCTTATTTTTTTCTCATAATTTGTATGAGGAATCACCCCCATTTAGTACGGAGGACAGAACGCTTATCTTGGAACACTAATCTTGGAATTGGATTTACGAAATTTAAAACTATTGAGCTCCTGATGAGGACTTAAATGCTTTTAAGTCCTCATCAAGAGCTCAATAGTCGGCTTAGCCGGATGTTCCTTTTTTTATGCTATTTGTCCCGTCTTTTTACTATAAAAGTACCACACTTTTTAATTATTTTCTTCATATTCACTTGCTTAGTCTCTCTCTAACTATTAAGATTTACTCTCATATTGGTTAATATATTATTAATTAATATTATGTTTTTATTGTCAAATTGCTTTTTAACATTTAATACCTTAATTATATATGGCCTCACCATTTATCTTAAAACTTTTCACATATTTCTATCTGTTATAGCTTTTATTGCTACATACATATATAAATTAAAATATTTGTAACATTAGATTGTAATTTGCCACAAATTATTTAAAAGAATTTTTTTTATTTTTTGTTTGAAGTAGTCGTTTAAACTACTCAACATTGGTCAAATTTTCCTTTTTAAAACCTTTTTTTTAGATTGTCATTAATTCATAAAATACCTTAACATTGTTATAGTCTCGTCAGCTCTTCAATTACTAAGTTAGTAACCTATTAGTTTTATCA